TTAACTTTTGAACGTGTAATTCAAAGTTAAGGATAGGAGTCCTTAACTTTTAACTTGAAACTCAAAGTTAAGGAAAGACAGTCCTTAAGTTTTGAACTTGGAACTATAAGTTAAGAACCTCATGTCCTTAACTTTTAAAGTTGAAACTCAAAGTTAAGGACAGACTGTCCTTAAGTTTTGAAATTGCAAGTCGAACTTACAGACTCATGTCCTTAACTTTTAATCTTTGAACTCAAAAGAAACAAAAAGAAGGTAAGAAGAAAGAAATTTTGAAAATTCAGACATCTGCTCAAATAAGAATAATCTAAATGAATCCAATTTATAGCAAAAACTTAAAAGAGTCGATAAACATAAGTGGATATATCTACTCTTCTCTATGCTTTCTTGAAAATGGATGGAGAGCCGGAGAATATATACAAGTTGTTCTATTATGACCAATTCATCTGCAATGACCACATTTGAATGTTATTTTTGATGACTCGGTAGCAGGAATATGCCTTTTCTTTTGCCTTCTACCTGGTGGCACTTTGAAATCTGGAGGTTTAATAATTTGTGACTTAACACTCTCTGGTACAATCCAAGAATCAGTATGTCCTACAGGATGTATTTGTCTTTCATATGTTTTCAGCCAAGATTCCTTTAAGTACCAGTGCGAACAAAAGTTGGACTTCTTGATGTTTCTATTCTCGATAGCTGCAATTGCATGTATGCATGGTAATTCATCAAATCGAAACTGAAAATAATCACATGTTCTTTTGTTTAAGTCCACCAAGAAAGTTATTCCTTCTTCTTCGACTCTAGAACGCCATGAATCAACAGGGAAGACCTTCAATGTTGAAAAATTATAAGTTAGTACATTATGTTAAATAATATTAAAATCATAAGATAAACATAGAACATAATACTTACATTCAAAGTAAATGCTAAATCTATTCTTTTCTTCAATTCCTCCTCTACCCAACAAGAAACATCATAAAATGTTCCTTCTGCTTTATTTCTTCTTTCATAAAACCAACGTTGTAGCTTCACTTGAATGAAATCCATCATTCTTAATAGGCAGCTCCCTTGCTTCTAATAGGACAGAATTTATTGACTCAACTATGTTTGTTGTGAGCATGTCATATCTTCGTCGTGGACTACAAGAACGTGCTCATCTTTCCGGTGGTTCTTCCATCAAGTAGTCATAAGTCTACTTATCTACTTTTGCTATATCTGACATGTATAGGTCAAATTCTTTGCGCCTGTATACTCTTGCAACACTTTGGAAAAGTTTTATGACCTCACTTTTTACCTTCCTTCGCTTTAGGTTCTGCTCCAAATGATAGATGCAAATCCCATGATGGCTTTCAGGCTATACCTTTGCAATGCCATTTGCAATAGCTTGATGCTTGTCTGATAAAAAAATTAAATTCTCACGGCTCCCAATTGCATTCCGAAGCTGACTAAAGTACCACTCATAGGAATTGTTATTTTCAGATTCTGCTATTCCAAAGGCTAGTGGGAAAATTTGGTTATTTGCATCCTTTGAAACTGAAATCATTAGAACACCACGAAATTTTGACTTCAAAAAAGTTGCATCAACAGCAATCACTGGTCTACAATGATTCCAACCAGCTATTGATGATCCATATGCATAAAACATATAAAGAAACCTGAAAATACAATATAAAACAAGGTTAACAGAAGTTAAGGACAGGTAGTCCTGAACATCATATTACAAGGTTAAAAGTTAAGGACAGTCAGTCTTAACTTAGAGTTTCAAGTTATAAAGTTAAGGACATGTGGTCCTTAACTTTGATTTCAAAGTTCAAAACTTAAGGACCGACAGTCCTTAACTTTGAATTACAAGTTCAAAAGTTAAGGACAGCCAGTCCTGAACTTCTGGTTACAACTCAAAAGTTAACAAGGTTAAAGACAGCATGTCCTAAATTTTATAAAACGTACTAATAAACTTTTTTTTGATTGTTTACCTGTTGTTGTCGTCTATCTTTATGTTAGTATAAGTTCCCGGGTTTTTACTTGTCATCATATACAAGTATGAAGACAATAATTCATAATTCTCTTCGGGAGTTCCTCTTATTAAAGCGGAAGCATGTTGAATAGCACGCCACGACTTGTGATATCCAATGTCTAGTCCATGCAATTTTTGCATCTCTGCCATGACAAAAGCTGGTGTAACTTCAAACCTTGGGTCCCGAAGATTGTCGATAAGGTAACCACTAATCAACTTTGAAGTAGCATGCCTTTGATCTGCTTTTATAGTGTTAACAGAGCAGTCATGATTTTTCTCAATCTTTACTATCTTGAACAGTGTTGAATCTTTAATTCTGAAAGCACGCACACACCAACAACACCTATCATCATTGCATTTCAATGAATATCTTGTTGAGCTTGATCTAAAAACCTTGAATTCAAAATGTCCTTTAATTGCTATATTGGAAAAACAGTTAATTATACTCTTCTTCTTGTCAAATACTGATCCGACTGTTATTTCTTCCAACGAAGCATTTTTTCTTAATATCGTAGTTGGGGATTCTTTTTGTTTCAAATTTGATCTTCGTCTAGTTAGTTGAGCCGAGGTTTTTTCAGCAACTTCTTCGATTACCGGTGCACTCTCTAAGACTTGAATACCCAAAGCTTGTTTATTGTCAATATCTATAATGCTTTGTCCTTCTACTTGAATAGAATCAAATGTTTGATGCACCTCTTCAGTTATTGGTTGAGCTTCAACCATATCTATTTCCATTATCTGTTGGCATTTGTCTTGATTGTCATGTTGAGTTTCTCTGTTGACATGTGTTTGAAGCACCTCTTCAGTTATTGCTTGAGCTTCAACCATATCTATTTCCATTATCTGTTGGCATTTGTTTTGATTGTCATGTTGAGTTTCTGTGTTGACATGTTCATTGCTTGTTGATCCAAAAACTCTTTCCGAAATATCAACAATGAAACGACAGCCCTTGAAGAGTGAATGAGTTTTTAGTAACTCTATACATGTGTGAAGATCTAAATCTTTGGATACAAGCATTCCTTTGCTTGTTCCAAGGTTGATATCAAACCATATCACTGCTTCAAACTTGTGTCTATCCAATTCAATAACCTCAAAGATTTGTTTAATGAAATCTTCAAACCGAATTGACTCAGGTACTAGAACAAGTTTTGTTTGATGATCAAGATATTTATAGTCTTCAGTCCATCTACCATTAAAAGCAACTATAATGCATATTGTTTCCATCCTGCAAGTCAAGAGAATGGGAAACTCAGGACATATTTTATAAAGCAATCCTTCTATAATTAAGAACATGTACTGTAAGTTCAAGACCAAGTTAAGGACCAAGTGTCCTTAACATTTGAACTTGGAATTCAAAGTTAAGGACTACTTATCCTTAACTTTTGAACCTGTAATTGAAACTTAAGGACTGCATGTCCTTAACTTTTGAACTTGGAATTCAAACTTAAGGAATGCCTGTCCTTAACTTTTGAACCTTCAAGTCAAACTTAAGGACTCATGTCCTTAACTTTTCAACCTGTAATTCAAACTTAAGGACTTCATGTCCTTAACTTTTGAACCTGCATGTAAAACTTAAGGACTTCATGTCCTTAACTTTTGAACCTGTAATTCAAACTTAAGGACTTGCTGTCCTTAACTTTTGAACCTGCAAGTAAAACTTAAGGACTCCCTGTCCTTAACTTTTGAACCTGCAAGTCAAACTTAAGGACTTATGTCCTTAACTTTTCAATCTGTAATTCAAACTTAAGGACAGGTTTTAACTAATAAGTGTAAGTTAAGGACCAAATGTCCTTAACTTTTTCAATTTGAAACTCAAACTTCAGGACTTAGTGTCCTTTACTTTTTCAAAACAATTTGTAAAACTATGACAGTATGTCCTTAATATACAGAAGAACAGCAACAAAGTTAAAGACATTGTGTCCTTAACTTTTTCAATTCAATTTGCAAAATGAGGATACTATGTCCTTAATATTATGTGCTCAATTTTTATAGAATTATCATAGGAGGCGATATCCTTAACTTTATCAATCCAGAAATTCAAAAAAAAAAATTAAATTTCTACTTACTGTATAAAAATCAATAGAAATCGGAAAGAGTATAACTATGTCGAAATAAAAATCAATAAAAACACATAAAAGTATAACTTACTGTAAATCTATGCCGATTTTTGGATGAGAATGTTGAAATTTTGAAATCGGAAGAGAATTTTCTTCAATTTCGACGATCACCGTGAAGTGCTTTTGCGCTGCTGCTGCTGCTCGTTAATGTTAGCGTAGGTATAAGTTATAGCAGAAGGGTATTTTCGTCCAGTCAGGTATAAGTTTATTAAACCAGTGGCTAAAGACTAAAAACATTTAAAACACTGGCTTTAAAATAAAGACAGGTGCTGTTAGTGGTTATTTGTGCACATCGCGCTCAAAGCGACTACATGGTGTTATTTCTACTAAATTACACTATCACAATCCAGAAAATAATCGGCTCGTTTGACCATCTAAGCTCCTCTAGATTATAAGTCGACTTAGAGTACAATTTTTTAGACCATTAGGCATGTAACTTTTTCTAGTTATCGCTTAACTGTATGGAAAAAGAATTATATGTCGAGGATATGTTGAAATTGATTGGAAGTGCTTGAGCATGAGTAAGGATACAAATGACGAATATGTGTTTAATATAAGAGATTCTTGTTTGTAATTTTCCCAAAGTAATGACGAATGACCACAAATGACGACAAAGGTTGGTAATATGAGAAAGTTATCCTTTTTAATTTGTTGAATATTAGCGAAATATTTTCATATCAATGGAGATGCTACGAGCGTCAACAAATTAGTGATATTGCATAGTCGTTCTCAAAATAATATATATATATATATTGCGCGCACACATAAATTTATATACTTTTACAGCTGTTGGATATAAAAATTCCGATCGCGAATTAAAAGTGATCTTTGCCCAGCATCAATTGGATTATGACCCACCCAACACAGTAAAATGAGAATTTACGAAAATCTTTTTAACCAAATTTTTAATTGTCTTTAAACAAGATCATGGTCATATTAGCTGTGGGATCTCTCATGCCTAAACCACCTAACGTTCTGTTTCTTCCTCTAGAGAAGATTCGACCCAACAAGCGATCACAATACACACTGCATCCTCGAAAAAGCGAATGAGACCAACTTTTGTCTGAGATATCATACAATCATTTCACTGCTTGATTGGATTTTGCTAGAACTTCTTGCTTCATCACTTGAGGTAGCCAATTTTCAACCTTTAGACATAAGAACGCCGTGATTGACCCATCGTCGGTGTTCTCTCGGTAAACTTCCAAGTGTTACAAAGGGGTCTTTGTCCACTTAGTTGCCAAACAAGGTCTTAGCAAGCACAAGGTGTTTAATCTAGCATTTTCATTGAACAGCTTCAGTAGTGGTACAGCTAACAGCCAGACACAAATAGCACGTCACTCTGATTCCTACTACGTTAGTCATCGGTGCAAGTCCGATATGGATGTACACTGGTACTACCAATGCATTACAGAACAATGGTATGCAGTGATACAGATTCCTAATGATACAAGACTTGAGCAGAGCAAGTCCACTTGGAAAAACATCTTTGCTTGATGCTAGTCAAATAGATACAGTGCTTTCCACCAAAATATAACAGAACGGCAAGCAATCATCTTACGGACATTTTCTTTGAACATAAGATGCCCCGTGCTCTTCGTACCTGTCATTAGCATAATGAAGAGGTGTGCTCATCAAAAACCACTACAGTTATGTGGCGTAGGAAGAGCTGTTTTAAAGGAAACAAAAACAAGGAGTACTCTTGCTTCTCAAAAGTAGCATTGGTTTCAAAGAAACATGCAGAACTTACTCGGACTTCGAAAACCACATTTGTTGAAAGGAACCAAGAGATGCCAATATGCTGCCCCCTATCCAAACACTGCACAACACCTTTGTTAGATCAGAGTTGTGTGAAGAAACCCTCTCCCAATTGCTAAATGCAAATCATCATTTATGGATGAACAGATATATCCTCTTCAAACTAGCATTTCAAGATTTTACTAAAAGCAGTTGACAAAAGAAGTATGTTTACTGTTTTCTCAAATCTGCATTTATATGGTAAGAGAAAGGGGAAATCTGCATTTATATGTTTACCCTCCCCAGACCCCATTTGTGGGATTACACTGGGTTTGTTATCACACAACGCCTTTGTTAGATCAGAGTTGTGTGAAGGGAGTAAAACCTGAATTAACCGTGGTGCACTTGCGGGAAACTCCTTGCCGAGGGCCTGTGCACCCCCAAGATTAGTCGGGGCTCTTAGAGACTCGGACACCCGGTGCAAATCAAACAAAAAAAAAAAGGATATGCCAATAGTACTTGAAATTTTGGGCAAAATGCTTCAGTTATGTGCTGTCAGGTTTAAACTAAGAAGTAGCAAATATCAGAGGAAATCCAAAACCAATTCATGAATGTTGCATGTAGATGAGAAAAGTAAGTGCAGTACACACACTAGACAGTTGAAAGCTTCTACCTTTACTTTATATACTCAACATCTAAAGGAACTATTACCATGAAGAGAGGCTGAGAAAGATGAAATGAGAACTACAGAGTAATAGTTTAACCTGAATCTCCTTTCTGTAGCATTTCCACTAGCCAGCACTTTGACTCTCGCTGCTTGAGGAGACTCCTGGAAAAAAGCGCAAATGAGATATGGAATTAGGTATTCAAGCTAAGGAGATAAAACAAGACTGCTGTGCTTGAATTCGAACAAGTGCATGAAAGGGGAGACGGGCATAGTTAGAGTCAAATGAGAAACGGCACCTCTAGCAAGTCCTTTTCCAGACGTTCTTTGAGTTGCTGCATCGATGCTGTCCCCCCAGCAAGCTGTATGAGGCATCAAACTAAAATCTCATCCAATGTTTCATATTCAAACAGACAAAACAAAAGTAGTCTACGCAAATCCATATGCTCGTGGTAGGTAGATGTGGGACTTAATCCAATGATAAATTTGAAAAGCGCTGGCTCTAATCTGCTGATGAATTTTCATATTGTTCTTTATATAATTTTTAGCGACAAAGTCATAAAGAGCATCATCCGGTTAGAAAAATTAAAATCACTTTGTCATGCAATTTCCATTTTCTTCTCCTGAAACTACTGGGTTTGTTGTTGTTGTTCTCCCGAAGGAAAGCATCCTCTCAGTTTCAGTGCTTACAATGTGAAAATGGGACTTAATCCAATGGGACTTAATCCAACGATAAATTTGAAAAGCACTGGCTCTAATCTGCTATTGAATTTTCATATTGTTCTTTATATAATTTTTATCTACAAAGTCATAAAGAGCATCATCCGGTTAGAAAAATTAAAATCACTTTGTCATGCAATTTCCATTTTCTTCTCCTGAAACTACTGGGTTTGTTGTTGTTGTTGTTGTTCTCCTGAAGGAAAGCATCCTCTCAGTTTCAGTGCTTACAATGTGAAAATGGGAATTTAAAAGAATTGACTTTATAAAGTGATCTTCAGAAGTATTTAAATGTTAAAAGCAACTACAAAAAATAGGGGAAGTGCACAAAAAAGAAACTGCAGCCTCATATTTAAAAAGATTACAAGAAGGATTGATGGCTTTACCAATATACTACTAAAAAGTTCTCTTCGGATATCCACATCGCACTTGTTTATGCTCTCGATAACCTGAAAATTTTGAGTGAATTATTACACCAGACGACGAAGGAAATGCGAAAGAGGAACAAAAATTGAAGGATGAATGTCAGCTGATATTATCTATTTGAGCAAAAGTAAAGGGAGAAAGGACCAACCATTTGTGATAGACCACGAAGAGAAGCAGCAGTCTCAGCAAAACTTTCCATACCGGGGATAGTCTGTGACACACAGAAAGAAAAATACCAAAGTAAAAGACTAGATAAACCAGAAATCTGAAGCGGCTAGCTTGAGAAGGCAAGATGACAGATTCTCCAGATAATAGGTATGCTTAAGCAGACAGAACGTTCTGTATTACATCTGACAACATATGAGAGTATACAGAAAAGAACACAGAAAAATACTTATTAAAAATCATTAGAGACTGATATCTCAAATAATACATATCTTTGACAATTCAACAACTAAATCTGAATCTCAAAGAAGAGATCATGGCACAATAAACTGCCACCCAGAAACATCCCACTATTTTGTGACCTGTGATACTATAAACTTTGTTGAATCTTGAAATGCAAGGAAATGAGATGCAAAGTTAAAACAGTAATATCGAACCAAATTGTGTGAACAGTACTGGAGGTGTGTAAATTAGAACAGCCAGGTCCATTATCCTTATTTACCATCAAAATAATTCTTGAAATATAGTTCTAATCATTGCAATGCAAAGATAAGACCATACCAAGGAGCGCTTCAGCTAAAAGTATACGCAACTTCTGAAGGATCAATACATAAAAAGTGAAAAATACAACAGAGGGAGGCAGGGCAAGAAGCATTACAGATTCAACATCTTAAGATAACTAAAAATACAGAATCATGCACAAAAGAAGATTAAAGTCGCGCACAAACAACTGCTCACATATATCCATGAGACCATGACTCCCACAAGATAAGAGAACAGAACAAGAAACCCGAAAATTAGGACGCTAAGCAATACCAACCTGAACTAATGATGGATTGAAAATAATATCAGGAATCTTGAATCTATCCGCTCCGACTTCTATCGTTCTGTTTCATCATGCAAAACAAAAAATAGAAGGCATATGAACTTAATTTTAACCATACAAAAGAATATCCGCCAATTCCAATCTAATTGACTTAATTGATTTTGTTTGCAGAGAGTAAGAGAATTGTAATGAGTTACTATAGTTGACATCGCTAGATATTTGAGTCATATGAAAAAGTATAAAGATGTCACCATCAAATTCAAATAATATAAACTTATACGGAACGTTATCTTCACCTTGACATTGTTTAAAATGATGGACTCAGCCAATTAAGGAAAGAGGTTCGCATGTTTTTGAGAAGGCATAGGTTAATCAAAATAGGTCACAGGCAGCAACTCTGAACAGCTGAAGCCTAACCATCTAGGACTGAAAACCACTACCATGGAGCTTCTAGTTATACCAAGAAGGTAAAATTACAAACTAAGAAATAAAAGGGGTTCCGATTTTTGCATTTAGATCTTCAACCAAAGATCTAAGGAAACTCAATCACTATTCTCCAAAACAGCGGAAGACTACAACACTTACTGCCCGTCAGGTAGCTCATAAGACGTCGTTGGAATGTTTGAATATGAACTGTCTGCAAGAAATAGAGTAGCAGCATATTACTTTCAAACTTCAAAACAAAATACTACATATAGAACAACACCAAAGAGAAAAAGCATATGAAAACATACAAGAATATAGTATCACTGGAACTTGAAGCAATTTCAACTGCCATTATGAGCAAAGTATATATAATAAAAGGTCTAAGATTACTGCCAAAAGATACCAGTTACATTTTGTTAGATGAGGAAGATCACTTTTTCCTTTTTCCTCCTTCTGTCAATTGCCATAGCGAGCAACAATATATACTAAAAGGTATAAGACTATGGCCAAAATATATGGTTGACATTTTGTTGGATGAGGATAGTTCCTTTTGCTTCCCTTCTGTTTCCTTTTAGATAAGGGTGCATTATAGCTGAGGGATTACAAAAGAAACAACTCTGTCAAGACATGGTAGAATGTTGGCAATATCTTCGGAGTTAATATCCTTTCACTACACTTAGATCAAGATTCAATTCCCTGTAAATTTCTCCTGCATTGGATGTTAGATGATTCATAGTTTTTCAGGGCAGAGTTGGATGAGGGAAGAGGAAACAACATAGTATTTAATACCTATGCTAGATAAGGATCTATGACAGAAGCTGCTTTCGTCCATTATAGTACCTTGACCCAACTTAAGTAACTCATTTTTCTGTTTGAGAGTCAAAACAGTTTTTTTTCTTTCTTTTTACCAATTGCATTTTAAAAGTTTATGATAAGTTTTTATAGTATCTCAATTAAATTTCGCAGAACAAAGTAATTGTTTCCAAAATTGACCCTCAAAAAACAAAAGTGGGCATTCAATTGGGAGCGGACGCAAGTTATTTGGTGAACTGCCTTCTCATATTTAGATACATTTATATCTTCTAGGGAAAATGCATAACAGAGTCCATGAGTCAAAAGGAGTATAAGAATATATAATAGCTAACAGGAGAAACAAACCATCATATGGAGTATCTGGGGCTCGCGAGACGCATTCTTTTATGTCACTTGCAATCGCTCTCTGCAAAAACAGAACAAGACTGAGCAGCTAAGAGAAATAACAACTGAAGAAAGAAAATGCTAATAATGATTAACCTGGCAATACAGTTTGTAACTCTCTGTTGTATCAGGGAAGTCAAGGTCTACTGTCTGTGAAACAAAGCATAAGTGTGATTAAGAAATTCAACAAAACTTCAGAAAAATAATGGTGAACAAATCTTAAAAAGATAGAATGAAGAAACACAAACCAAGATACTTAAACATTACATTTAGGTGAGGATTAAACAATCAGACTAGTTATGGCACTAAAACAAGGGTGTGTTACCTGAAATTCTCCTGGACGGATCTCCTTCCGCTTGAATGAGTACCGAGGCTTTATCTAGAAGAACAATGAGAAAAAGGAAAAAAAAAAGTTTGTTTCAAGATAAGGCAGATCATTGTATGAGATCATGTCTTAAAGGGGGAAACTGACAATAAATAACTAACCGTAATGCCTTTCTGTTCCAAACTTTTTATCAAGCAATCGGTAAGAATTTCTCCCCCAATAGGAGATGTAGCAACCGCCTGTTATCAAAATAAAGAAACATATATATTCAACGAAACCAAAAACAGAACTTTGAGAAGTTGGACAACAATGCACAGACCATGTGTTGAAGATTTAACATCCATAGCCACTAATATATTCCCATCCTTAAAGAAATAAAAGAAAGATTGTACAAGTGCACCAGCAACTTAGACCCTGTCTCCCCATGCAACGAGGAGGGATGATGCAACTAAACATGAAATCCTTTTCCTCCTTCCACGTCCCATAGACAAAATAAACATTTAAAATTTTCATCTAGAGAGCCTGCCATCTTCAACATCTAAAGTACATGATCAATCCTGCATTGATTAATTAGCTTTTCCACCTTAGAATCCATATCCTGGACTTGATTTCTTCTTCACTCTGGCTTACAATTTAGGAAACAGCCAGGAATATTCTATGAAAGGATAGTCAGTTAACAAACAGCCAGGAATATTCTATGAATGGATAGTTAGTTAACACATCTACTGGAGGGAAACATGCCAGCCAACCCAGTATGTGATTTTTCTTAAAGAAATTCAAGCGAGATACAATTTGAGGCCTTCAGTTATTACCATGAGGGAAGTACAACAAGATAATAGATATTTTCTTCTTTTTTGTTTTAATTTTATTTTGAGAGTGAGAAGGGGATGTCAGCAGATTCGGGACAAATTCATGTGCTCAGTGCAATTAAACAATTCCCAGAAGCATGTCAGAAGTACAAACATTAATGTAGATCTCTGTTTGTTAAGTAAAAGCTATGCTAATGGTAGGAATTGAACTAAAAATTCCATAAGAAAAGGAAAAGAGGTCATATTTCGAACTGGAAGTAGTATATTTTACAATAGATGGCTCAAGTAAATAGGTAAAAGTGATCATATGTTAAACTCTTAATTAAGTGAAGTTATTACAGTCATCAGAAAAAAAAAAGGAAAAACACTTAGGCAGTTGCTCTTTGTTGAGGGATACCTTTTGAAGAACATATCCATCATGAACAGGAGCAACAGTAGTCGATCCTCCACCACTGCATTAGTTCAAGAACAGCTCTTTTAGCAGTATCCAATGAGCAACAGAGAAAAGATGCAAGCAGAAACTGCTAGATTCATAACGGTTAACAAGGTAGAGTAACAGAAAGAGCACACATGCATCCAGTCTCTTAAATAGAAACAGCTATAACTTGAAAAGAAAATAGTCAGCAGATCCGAGGACATAGAAAAAAGCAAACCACTCCTTCACCAACTTCAAAAAAAATAAAGCAAAACACTCCAGAACTGGTAACTTGAGCTTCAACTTTGTCTAAATGATTGGATGACTTTTGATGTATAGTTGATTGAATGGATGAGCATTCCAGAGAACAACATCTTTGTATAGCTCTCTTCGCTACGGATAATAGTTGTAGAGCTAAACAAATAGAGTGTGCCTTCTTTAACACCATAAACTCTTAGATAAGGTGGTGCACACATTTCAACCATAATAGTGAATTTAGCTTCTTAATTATTGAAGAATTTCATTTGTGGCCCTGGTGTCTAACCAATGAACAATTTAACTTCAACACTATTTTGGTATCTTTCTACTCCTTAATACAAACATTGAACAATTTTATAATGATGCATCATACTACACCAACCCTTACAAGGCACTTCCAAACCTCTATTGGGATCTGTCTAACCCTCATATCTTTCCTGTTCTACTCCTGCATATCTAACTTTGTGAGTGTAGCAAAAGTTACTATTAAGAAAAGAAACGCATTGAACTTCAAGGACATACTTAATAGTCCTCACAAGAAGGATAAAAGTGTAGTGATACTAGGAAAAATTGTGATGTTTAAATATGGAAAATTTAAATAAATTTAAATATCTAGGCTTAGTCAGCCAAGATATTCTATAGATAAAGATATCAGATAGAACTATACAAGGATGATTGAAATGGAAGAGTATTACAGGTGTACTATGCAGTAGTAGAGATTGAAAAAGAATAAAAATACAGAATACCATCCACCTAATCTAAGTGAAAACTTTATATCATTTCTACAATTCTTACACATTCCTTAATATAATTAAAAGTTTGATATCATATCTCCATATTCTCAGACATAATTCTTACAAGATTCTTAAAAGTTACAATGCCTGCTTGAAGAGCTCAAATTTTTCATCAATCGCTCATCATACAGTTATGAATCAAACCAGACTGCTACTGATGTAAATGTGTAGAAACTTAACAATTCAAGATGAAGAGAAACTGAAACTAATATGCCATCATGCACCAGAAATCATGAAATCTTTCCAATTCTTTATATTCACTAAAAGGAAAGGTATAGAAGCGCACAATGCATGCAGATAATATGAATGCTATTATGGCTGGGAGGTTAAATTTCTCCGCAAAAGAACTTTATTGACAAGACAAGTCAAAGAAGCGATTCAAGGCCGATAGCCAGTCCGTAAAAAAGATCCTACCTGTCAACGACCAAAGAAGTTGCACGTCCTGATGCAAAAGATGTGAGAACCTAGCAGTAACGGTATCCGGAGATAATTAGCAACCAGAGTGGAATGATCTTGTAACATTAAGAAGATACAGTATTTTTCTTTTTATTTTTTCTTTTTCTTAATCAGGTAAAAGTGAAAGTTTCATTACTAAACAGCACAACGAAGTTTCTGTTAAGATGCTACAAATTAAAGACTCAAGAATCGATAAAGGCACTTACAGCATTTTTGGCCAAAAACAATGCAGGAACTTGGTACTTTTCAAACATTATCTCTGCAGCCCTGTCAATTAAATGTTCAGTCCACTGTAATTTTCAGTTTGCATTCAGATGACGTGATAATGCAAGTGCCAGATTGCCTTAAGAGGAAACATCTAAATGATAATGATCCCTCAATAGTTAAACTTCATTTTTAGCTTTGAACAATAACTTCTTTCCTTTATTCCAGTTCATGATGGACAAAGTCTTTCACAGTAGACTCTTCTCGTTAAGGGGAAGAAATCTTTCGAATAGAGTAATTTCACAAGTTATTACACATTAAACAAGGTAAGGCTTTTATGTTGGGACTTGGGATCCATTCTGCGGCAAATGAGCAGTTCATCAGTAAATCAGCCACTACTTGACAATCTTCACTTAAGAGATCACCATGATAGGAATTCCAGGCAACGTTATGAGGACTACAATGACCTCACAGAAAAGGTCAAGGTGGAAGGACCTAGCTTTGATCAAAAACTTGATCCAAATTTGTTCTTTAACTGTGCAGAAAGCTCAGAGGACTATTTTGAGAGGTCAAAATGCTCAATCAAGGCCACAAGAATCACTCTAAAGAGATATTAAAGATGAACTACTTGTAAATTCTCTCTTTTGCGGATTCTTCAATTCTTCTTTCTGTCTTTCAGTTTTTCTCTCCTCTCTTTATTCTTCTCTCCTTCTCCCCTTTCTCATTCTTTCCCCTTCTTTCACCCTACTCCCTTTCTGGTGCTACATCACTGGTATCAGCCGCTCAGGTTCTTATTCATCCATTGAATATCCATGACCTTCTAAATAACTAATCCTCTTTTTGTGTTTCGCTGTTCTTCCTCCCTTCACTCACTAGCTGTGCCTTCTGGTAGAAGTGCAGTTTAGTCACAGACTGCTAAATTGTTCTCTTAGTTTTTAGCTGAGGACAAGATTATTTTGTCTCATGGGATATATATTGTTTTCTCGTTAAACTATAACAAACTTTTGGTGCTTATGACTTTAATATAACAGGAAGCTGTTGCAGTGCTCAATGTTTGCCCTTTGAACTAGCAAAGACGAAGGGCCTACAGGATTAATAAATACGTAATTTTTACCTAAGAGCATGCTTCGTCCTTGTACTTTCCTAGGCTTCCTAATAAAACTTTCTCTGTAAAACAGAATTAACGTAGGACGCCAAAATAGATAGGCCAGCAATTTATTTTAAAGAAAGGTTAAGAGTTTCATTAAATAAAATGGCCAGCATATTCAGGTAAAATAAAGGCTTGAAATGTTGTACGTAATAACTATACAAGTTCCAAAAACAAAAGGCATGATTCTTAGAATAATGTAAGGTAATAAGACTGCTAAAAGACAGATTGGATTGCTCACTTTTCCCTCTGCTGCTGAGTGTTCGAACAAGGCTCGGCAAGTAACATCGGATGCTCCTTTGGATCGATCAGTAAGCATTCCCTGTAAGTGAATGTAAGTAGGCAGGGAAAAAGGTTTCTTTGAACAGTCTAAGAGCCGCATCAACTTAACCAAATGACAAAGGACAGGAAAAAGCAAAAAAGATGTCGCAGGAAAAGCATATAAAGAAGACAGTTTTTACCTTTCTTCAAAATGAATCAGTAATATAACATCATCTGTATTTTTGTTTTTATTTTTTTGATAAGTAAATACAACATCATCTTTATATAAAGCAGGTATTTTTCAGTGATCAAAGAAAGTGAAAAACACTGCAGCAGTGCAGCCCCATCTACAAAAGTACAGTGCCAGTGGTCTGTAGCATAAGCATGTTCCTTTTCGGGGATGAATCACTAATACAGCATTATTTCCATTAATGCAAAAGCTATGTTGCCCGGATACGGGTGCAAGTGTCTGACACGGGTGCGGATATAGAGGTAGGATTTGTCATCTCGTAAATTCTAATATATCGGATATGGATAGCAGTATGGGTACGGACATTGGGATACAGCTAATAAATGTGTAAATATAATATGTATAACAATTACTAGTTATTTAGAACATAGAAAAATAACTCAACTTTTAGATAAATTTTCGCCAAAATCCATTTTTGTATAATTAAATTTAAGTTATGTTGAATAATAATTTGTAAGTAGTGTTAAATGATCCAAAGTTGGCCCAATTAATGTTGTTCTTAGGGATCTTATCTATGAATATACAATGAACTGAGTTTGTGACCCAATGAAATCACAGTATTTTTGTAGAATACGTTTGTCCGGGTGTTTTTGTAAAGGCCCAGTCCACCAGTAATTGGCAAAGATACGCTCCTATGGCATTTCCTCCTTTGCATTCAGTGGCGGATTCACCAGAAAGTAACCCTAGCATGCCATCCTCTGTTTGAGTTGAATGGTGGCTTCAAATGATGTCTCCAACTGTTCTTTTCTGTTTTTTTCCTCTTTTCCTTTGTGCTTCATCTCTGTCTTCTTGGTTCTCAGTTTCACCTTTCCTTTGTAAAAGTATCCACCGAATGTTGACAGAACCCAGTACGAACCCTGTAACCATACCGGTCTGTCCTGTCGTGTCGACTTCAGTGCCGTCGGTAATTGAAGGTTCCGAGCAACATAGTATGAAAGAGGACAGTGCCAGTAATCCAAGTAGTAAAACTAAATTAAGGGGAAAAAAGTAATGCAGTCCAATCTTGAAAGCTAATGGTGGTCTGGGGTCCATTAGGAATAATTGCTTAAAACAACCCTGCAACAAACTCTACAATGTCCTAGATATTGTTAATTGCCTAAAACTATCCTTTCAGCTATTAGGAAAATTGTGAAATAGGCCAATATCAACTAAACTAATTAGATTAAAAGAAAACTATTTAGATTTTGTCTGTCTCACATAATAATTCTACAATATGTTTCATAGGACTCAGTAATCAAAAGCATATGTGCCAGAGCAACACGATCAGCAGTATATCACCTTAAGGTGGTAAGATCCCTCAGTGAGGGTCTCCAGGGTACTCTCAGACTAGGAGGGGAGGATGTGAAATACATAGAACGACCATGCAACAATAAGCAAAGCAGTCTGAAAGAAAATCCACAAACTATATGTTGCTGCAAATATCCCTGGCAACTGGGTTGTAGACTTCTTCTTTTTTATAAGATTTGGAGACTGAGAAACATAATACTGCATACTCATGCAATTGTGCCATATCGCTTCAAGTTGAAAATCCCCACTTAGCTAAATTATTTCGAGTAACATTCGTGCCATTAATGTTACAGGGGAAATTGCTCAACAAATCAATGAAAGGAAGGGCCAATTACCTGAAAGCATGGTCCCATATGTTCTCTACAATATCCCAGTCCACAACCATCCCATCCTTGATGGGCGATAGCACCTGCCCAAGATAATCCAACATCTTAGATGACAGAGATAAGGAAATGGTCACAAAGTGGTTCTATATAAACTTGCAAACTGACCTCCATGAGATCACGGCGAAATCCCAAGGCTTGAGATCCAACATACAATCTCCGCTTCCCCTTTGATTTAGAGTCAGGAGCAGATCCGGAATTATCCTCCGGATTATCAGGATTATCAACTTCCATTTGATCAACTGATCCAACAACCTTTAAAAGATGATAAAATCAAGACAACTTTACACAGAAATAATACAATGTAGGTGACTAGTTGAAAGAGAATCTGAAATATGAGCATATATGAAGGAAATAAATAATGATATAGACATCATGACCCAGGCGGGTTAGTTTGTGAGTGGCTAACCTGCTAATGATATTCAAGAACTCAAAAGGACACCAACTATAATGAGGAAAAGATTTGAACTAATCTTGAAAAAACAAGAGATACTAGAGATATAGATAATTGATTATATAAAAAGAAAATAACAGGAGAGATCTCGCTGATTTTCTCAGCAGCTATCTTATGTATAAAGTTTCCTGGAAATTTTGAGCTGCTTCCACTAGAAATCTTATTGTTCAAGACTAAGTAGGAAATCTCTTTTTTTTTTAATGAAAGTGTCCGAACCATCTTGCATGTAACTCAGACTAATCCACTGGTTACCTGGCACCTCCCACCAACAAAGGTATAGGGTAACACTATCCACCGAAGCGTAAACAGATGGAAAGAAATCACCTACCTTTTTTGCCTCTATTGTGATTTTAAACCCAGTCTCTCATGGTTCATCCTAACTTTCATGAACCGCCGTGCTACATCCTTGAGTGCAATCAGGGACTTCTATCATACTACTGTGATTTGAACCCCGTGCTCTCATGGTTCATTCTAACTTCATTAACAGCCAGGATACATCCTTGAGTGCAATTAGGGACTTCTATCATTGAACCAACATTCTCCAAAAGCGGTACGAGCTATATAATAAGATAAGCCATTTATATTTCTTCTTTTTTTTATGACCGAGAAATCCGTCTAAGGCCAACTCTCATGACCAATTGCAGCCTTCGAAACTCCGGGATAATGGCCCGCCCCTCTAATCTTCTCCGCTTAAATACCAGGCTTTAGTCCCTCTAATCTTCTCCACTTAAATACCAGGCTTTAGTTCGCATGGCGCAAAGCTTGAACCTATGACTTAAGCCACAAGCCCACAACAATTGCCACTTGAACTAAGCCCTGGGGGCATCTATATTTTCTCTATTTTCTTAAGGTTAAAAGTGGAAATGGTAGCGCATATATGTTGGTCAGCTTCATTTATACTTTCCGGTTCTGAGATGCGTAAGAGAAGTATTTTTTTTTCCAATAAGTACGTAAGAGAAGTATTTCTCAGTATTCATCTACTGCACCATTAGTTTTCTGGACTAATTTTACCTCCAATTAACTGTGTGCTGAACTATCATTTCTTTATAATTAGATTGATAGAGAATGGACAATCTGTTCTTGGTTTCTTTGATATCTGTTCGTTCATGAGTTGCATAGAAGAAAGCCATTAGCAGGCTTTGGAATAAAGAAAGAAACCTTGACATGGGATGCATACAGCAAACATACAACACCGAGATCCATTTTTAGTAAAAGAATAATAAGTCATTTATTGAAAATAGAACACACTGCAATATCACTAGTAGCCGCTTGGCTGGAAAAATATGACAATAGCAGCACAAGTGGCATAACATTCATATCAACCACATGCCGCGATTAAATAGCTAAAGATGGCAAATGGACTCCTCTCTTTTCAATGGATAGCCAAATTTTTCGAGTCAAGGAACTCAAACCTTCTGGTAGTAGTTTGACTTTTAGCCCAAGGAAACACTTGAAGTAGATTAAGGGCAAGCATTTACAAATTACAAGATTGCTTCCCCATAACCCCAAAAAAAAAAAACATAACAGGTTGAGACTTGTAAGTCTTGTATGAAATTCCCAAGCATAGAAGCTACTTAGATGTTAGAGCTACAAGACCTTGCAGGATAATCTAAAACTATGGTCTCTCGGCAATAACATAGAGTTGGCATTTAAATGTGGTAAAAATTCCCATGTGAATCCATTACAAGTATCCCATTCCCAAATCATATTCAACAGCTATTCAACCTAAAAGAACGTATAAATTTGTTTGAAAGGATTGCTCTTGAGGACCTGACAAAGAGCTTACAGCTACCATAAGCATTTATTTGATAATAACTAATCCACCACTTTACCAGCGTTGATGCACTCCAGAAAAAAAAAGCAACACACAGGGTAGAGGATTCTCTAGCCCGTGTCATTTATTGAAAATAGAACACACTGCAATATTACTAGTAGCCGCTTAGCTGGAAAAATATGACAATAGCAGCACAAGTGGCCATAACATTCATATCAACCGCATGCCGCGATTAAATAGCTAAAGATGGCAAATGGATTCCTCTCTTTTCAATGGATAGCCAAATTTTTCAAGTCAAGGAATTCAAACCTTCTGGTAGTAGTTTGACTTTTAGCCCAAGGAAACACTTGACGTAGATTAAGGGTGAGCATTTACAAATTACAAGATTGCTTCCCCCATGACCCAAAAAAAATAAAAAAATAACAGGTTGAGACGTGTAAGTCTTGTATGAAATTCCCAAGCATAGAAGCTACTTAGATGTTAGAGCTACAAGACCTTGCAGGATAATCTATAACTATGGTCTCTCGGCAATAACATAGAGTGGGCATTTAAATGTGGTAAAAGTTCCCATGTGAATCCATTACAAGTATCCCATTCCCAAATCATATTCAACAGCTATTCAACCTAAAAGAAGGTATAAAATTGTTTGAAAGGATTGCTCTTGAGGACCTGACAAAGAGCTTTCAGCTACCGTAAGCATTTATTTGATAATAACTAATCCACCACTTTACCGGCGTTGATGCACTCCAGAAAAAGAAAAAAAAAAAAACATCACACAGGGTAGAGGATTCTCTAGCCCTTGAGTCTAATAGTCCTCAAGTTTCTCCGCCATGTAGATGAGAAAACAATGTAAAGTTTCCTATTTTCTCAAATTATACCTGATAATTTTATAAATGCTGATGGGAAAATTGGTTGAATCTCCCAATTTCAGTCTTTTGGTGTTCTAGTTCTAGTTAATGATTTTCATTTCTAAATATTCTAATTTCTTCAAGAAAAATCAAGAAATAAATAAAAAGAGTTCATGATCTATATTAAAATCATTAATCCCCAAAATAAAAATAAAAAATTGAGTGTCGGGCAAGTAGTGGCGTGCTAATGCCATGTCAATCCCTATTCACTACTACCCTATACTTTTACCTCAATTGCATCTTAATGCCACTAAGGCTCAAAGACGCTGCCTATGACCAAAGTTCTAAACTTTAGCAGCTTCATCTTTAGCAGTCAAATCTGGTGTTCAGGCTTGCATTTCCCAAAAATTCCATGGATTTAAATTATATATACTATCACTCTATCAGTGTAAAATTCTTTTACATTATTGCCACAATTTCACCCGTTGTAACAAGCTACTTACTTTCTTTTCGAGGTTACCAACTCAAATTTTTTCTTTGATGAAGCAAAAGAATTTCATTAAAGACATCAAGAAGATGCATAGCAAAAGAGGGTACAAGTAAATAGAGTATGTCTGCTCATAAACATAACTAAAAGAAACCTAAGTTAAAACTAAGGAGCAGACTCAAACTTGCTATAGACAGGTGACAGTTACCTGTAATTGTCTATTAAATAACCTGATAGTGTATAATACAACAACATAATATCCCGTGTGATCCCGCAAGTGGGGTCTAGGGAGGGTGGGGTGTAGGCAGACCTTACCCCTACTTTTGTGAGGTAGAGGGGCTGTTTTGGATAGACCTTCGGCTCAAGAAAAGCGTTTTCAAAACAGGTTTGAAAAATACAAGAGTATTTTTAGGTTTGAAAAATAACCTGATAGTGTATATAATCTTTAAATGCCGGTACATATAACTTTAAAAATTTATTTTGTTTATGCTTTCCAGAAGATTTGAACTTTGAACTGGAACAACGCTTTGGAACATCTTACTGAAAGCTGCATTGTTAATTTGCAACCTAAAAAGGATTTCTTTAAAATTAACTTACAGAAGGGAAAACGGCTTTAGGAGCATCTTCACCAGCGTAACCAGCTTTGCAAGTATGGCTACCCAAATCTATCACAATTGCTGATACTTCATCTGTAGACCCAAAATATAAAATTGCAAACAAAAACGCGCTGAATTCTTGTGCTTACAATAAGAAAAATGCTAAAGCCGTAAATAGACGTATTTTACACTCGCGAAAGGAAGTAACTGGTACTCACCACCGCCGTACATGATTCAGTGATTCGAATTTGGAGATTGATTGTTTGCTGCTTCAGTGAAATTCTCTATACAAGTCGCGAGGGCTTTAGCTGGGTTTTTGACAGAAAACCGGGTTGTGGGTCGGGTCAATTTGTTATTCGGCCCTTTACAAATAAAATTTAAAATAAGGGGTTATTTGGTAGGGTGCATAGGAATAATGTTAAATAGGGTGTATTAGTAATGCTACTATTAGTTATGCTTGCATTAGTTATGTTGTTATTAGTTATGCTGACATATTTCTTATCCATTGTTTGATTTGATGTATTAAAGCATTGCATAATTTCTAAAAGAATTGTTCGTTTACAAAAATACCCTCAAAACCAGTCAATCACTCTAACTTTTTAAAAGAAACATATGTTGAGAAATGTCTTTATATGAAAAGGTTTAAAAATAATTATTTGATTTGTCTACCTATATTGTAATATAGAACTAAATAATTATTTATAAAAAAGGAAATATGCTAAGTATTTATTTATTTACTAGAGATATAATTTTATTTCTCACTATTTGAATTATTTTAAACTTGCATTAATATAATAACTAACATATTTTAATCAAGCATAAATTTTGAAGGACAATTTTGTCTTTAACTAAGCTAATACATGCATTAAAACCCATTGCATTGCTAATACCATGGTTTTCTATGCATTGGTTATGCATAGGATAATATCAAATAGGATGTATAACTAATGCTTGCATAACTAATGCATAGGTTCAAAATGTCTACTAAACAAGATATTATTAATACACAAAGTTAATGCATGCATTATTTTATCTAATGCATCCTACCAAAGACCCCTAAGGGTGTCAATGCAATTATTGAATAGTTAAAAAAAATTGTTGGTAAAACAAATCGTGGATTCTGTTGAGAGAGTTGTTTCCCTCCTTCTAGGGTTGGGGCATATATCGGGTAAAACCAATAGTCCGAACCAAAAAAATATGATTGAGTTATCAGTATTGGATTATTGGGTTAATGGTTTTATAATGATTTAATATTATTTGACTGTTGGGTTATATATCTGTTGGGATCTCGTTTTGTCCAATTTTATTAACGGTTTTGACCAATAACCGAATAAGCTTTATCAAAAATATAATTTCACCTTTAGGTATATAAAGGCGCCATATGACTTTATTTTCCCATTCTCTTGGCCACTCTTCATCTTTAATCGTTACTCCTTTGGGTAAATTTTAAACTTTTATGAATTTTTTATCTTCATTTTGCGGTTCAAAATTTTTGTTTCAAACTTTAAAGAATGAATTGCTCAAATTTTTAGTTTTTCTAATTATTATTTTTTTGTTGCACTAATTCTTTAGCATTTATGAGATTAGGATTTTACCATTTTTCTATGAATTATGTCCATCCAATAGAAAAGTGATGTAGCACCTTTCTTAGGCCAAGAAATTTATTTATCTTTTTTTTCCTTTTTTTGAGTTTTTCATCATTTTATTCATTTATCTTATATTAAATATTATATCTTAATAACTCATACCTCTTTACTTTTATAACCTACACTTTTAATAATCTCAATAACTCTCATGTCTTTCATATTCATAACCCCCAAATCATTAATGTATAAGTTTATGATAATTTATTATAGTATTTCTCCATGTGTACCTATATAAGGACTTCTATATTTTGAACGAAGATATTGAGGGACATACTAACGTAAAGTATGTATTCAGTTTTTACCTCCTTTATATTTGCTTTTTTTTTACATCGTTCTTCTTTATTTTCTTTCTCTTAAATTTTGTTCCATATGAGATTTTTCAAACTATGCATCGTCCAAAAATAAATATCTTAGTCTATTCTATATTATAGGTCGAGTATTAGATATGCTTAACATTAAGTTGAGGAACCTATATATGTTTTCTGCAGATCATGACGGTTGATGTTGAACAGTTTAAATCAAATTATAGAGTATCCGGGTCAAAGAGAAAGATTTGATTGATCTATGCAAGAAGGGTGAAGTAAAAAGGTAGGAGCACAAAGACATATCTAAGTGTTCTCTTTCCGTTTTGGTGCTTTGATTTCTAGGTTGCCACCTAATTAGAATTCTTTCTACATGCTCTTTTGCTCCATAATTTACTTTGAGCCCAAGCTTATTCATATCGTCTCAGGGATATTCTAAATGAGATCATAATTGCAAGTAGAGTTTAACTTATGACCTTTCTTAATCAAGTTATTTGTTCTTGACATTGCTAATCATATACAATATTTTATGGAGATCACTCTCAAATTTTAGAATCAGTTAAAAATTACAGTTTCTGTATGATGCCGTTACAATTGCAAGTGGGGAGGATATATATATCTTTTTATCTAATCGTGTGACCATCGACACACTATTTAGCCATTTGTTTATTGCATTAGAATTCCACAATTATTTTGCTATAGCAACATATTTGCTGAGACTCGGACAAAGTCCTTCCACTCTCATCAAATTTGGTATTTCTTTGCTAAAAACTAATTTACTTTTCATAACATATAATTTGAAATAAATGTACTGAAATTTCATACTGACCAAGATTGCTTAACTATTTGTACTTAGTCTGCTCATACAAATATTAAATGGGCAAGATCATGTGATTTCCAATATAAAAGTGTGTAACTTACAACTTTTAGCCTTTTGGATAATTAAAGAAAACAACAAAGAGGGGGGGGGGGGGGGAGTTGTCTAATGTCCATGTATCCCACCACTTATAATTGTTACAATGTGTAACTTCCGTATATTCGTTCTTGAAAGTATACATATAGTGATATTTAACGTTTAATTTGTCAACTATAAATGATCTCTATTAGACCAAAACAACATTTCCTCCCATAAATAACTTTTTTTTCATATAATGCTGTAAGATAGTATTAAAGAGGGAATATTAGAAAAATAAATAGAAAAAAGGGGAAAAAATGTGAAGAAAAGAGGAATGGCCAGGTTTCATATTTATCGTAGATGGGTGAATATTCATTTATTTTTGTAATTATTTCACATTCTTCTTCTTTTAAAAATATTGAGAAACTTTTTAAAATTTTAGAAAATTAAACATGATATGCTTATATTAAATTTCCTATTATTTTTCATAACCGCGCAAAGCGCAAACAAATTTACTAGTAGTAGTAAGATTAGAATGTTGAATGTCTTATTAATTACTATTACTAACTTATTTCTTTTGTTGACTTTGAGAATTGAGATAGTTAATAAGTGCACACATTTTACTAATTGGTAATTGGTTAGGGATCACCAACGGTTTTATCTTAAATTTCTCATCTTTATGCAGCGTTACACCTTACCCTTCTTCCCTCTAGATTGATACTCCCTCCGGTCCAAAATAAGTGATTTTTGGATGTTTTCACACAGATTAAGAATCTACCTTTTAGCATTAATTAGCAATGGAATTGCCCATATTAACCTTTACTATCTCACATAAACCTCCTAACACATATTCCAACACTATTTACTCCAAGGACAATGTAGGAAAAAAATAATTAATTTATTCTTGAAATCTGGAAAAATCACTTATTTTGGACCACAAGAAAAAGGCCAAAAAATCACTTATTTTGGACCGGAGGGAGTACCAATTTGATATCATCACAGAAACAAAAACTAAACAACAAACACAAATTAGAGATAGAAAAGAAGATATAGAAAAAATAAAGAAAAAAAATACTAGAATCTAATAGAAAATGCAATTAATCCACCTAAAAGACAAACTTAGACATACCAATTGAAATTCAACAATTAAAAATCATATCAAGAGCGAAGAAATTAAACTCATACAAAAAACGCTTACCTAAGAATCCAAAAGAAGTTCAAATAAGAAATACAAGGGTCTTTCCCAAAACGTAACCCCATAAGGAGTAGTCTTTATTCAATATTCCAAAACTAGCTAATTATGAAAAAAATATTTATTTAAGAATATTCAACATAACCTTTAGACTAGATAAAAGCTACTATATAGTACCAACAGGAGTATGTGGGTTGCGGTTTAAATAGTTAGGTGATATAATTCAAGATTCTGAACAAGGGCGGCTCAAGCATATGCGGGGCCTAAAGCCAAAGATTAATATGAGGCCTAAATTTTTAAAAGAAAGTTATAAGATATATTTTATTTGAAGTCTATTCTTCTAACTTTTTGAGATACAAAGTCGTTAGTAATTTTTTTTATAATCGATTTTCTCTAATTATTTAAATTCAATTGATAATATAGCCAACGATCATTTAATCTTTCTTGAGATATTATTGATCTTAGATAAGATTTTATAGACAATAGAAGTATAGAACTATTGGAAGCATAAAAGTATTGTTGAATACTTGAACTAATGAAATCTTGGAGAAAGAAGGTGAGTAAGAATAATAAAGAGAAAGACATAAAATATGTAAGGATTTATGAAATATGAAGAGATTGGGGAAAAGAAAGATTGACTTGGACATATTAAGAAAGGGAGAATAAATTTTTTATACGTTATCTAATAAAAGAGTAAAACTGAAACGTTGAGAAAACTATTCATCTACACATTTTTAAGTATGTCAAATTAATACTTTATTTATATATCTAAAGACCTTTCTTTCCTTTTATATTAAAAAACTACTTTTTATTTATTAAAAGTACTAAATATTATTTTTTAAATACCTATAAACCTATTATTTTAAAAAAATGGGGCCCCCCAAATTTGGGGCCTAAGGCACAAGCCTTACCACTCTTCATGTTAGAGTCTGCCCTGATTCTGAAGGCTAAACAAAGACTCTCTGAAGTCTTCAATTGTGACGACCCGACCCGTCGTCTCACGGGTTACCGCTCCGTTTTCCCCATTTTCTGCTTCTTTATGCTTCATTATAAGTGTCTTGTGTGAACGAGTTGATTTGGATTGATTTTAGAAGGAAATGAGACACTTAGTCTCTTTAAGGAAGGCTTGTTTTGGAAAAGTCAACCGGATGTTGACTTATATGTTAGGAGGATCGGATGTGGATTCCGATGATTCGGTTAGCTTCAGGGGATGATTTGTGACTTAGGAGTGTGATCGGAAATGATTTTGGAGGTCCGGTGTAGAATTATGCTTGAATTGGCGAA